AATTAGAACACACTACTATGGAGAATGTCATTCCAGATATGGCCCAATTTTGGTACCTCCATTAAGCATCTTGAGCCTTGTTTTCAGGGACACCAGCTACCCTAAAGTTCAGGAGCCTAGCACACTGCCACACAGCCACTGCCCAGGAAGAAATCAAGAGCTTGCAACAACAAAGATGCCTCAAGTAGAGCACTTCACTGAAGCCCCTTGGATGGTCAATGACCACTGGTTCCAGGAAACACAGGCTGTACCCTTAGCGTCTGAAACCTTAGCATTGATAAGCCTATTAGCAGAACTCACTGACCTTACAGCAGAGATGGAAATGGGTATTTCTACACTTAGTGTACCAGGGCAGGGCAGGTTCCTGCCCTAATCACAAGAAACCCGTATCAAGCAGCCTACAGCAGCAACTGACTTTAAATGGTTGCATATAAACTAGCTGACAAGGCTTCCTTCCCATCAGCAGAAAGAAAGAGCACAACTAGCAGGCAACTATTCCCCCTCTAAAGCAGGCATAGTTGACATAAATCATGACACCAAAGTGCCTTTCTCTACATGACCGATAAAAGAAGCCCAAGGGGACACAGATGTTAAAGTCTACATTGGAGTTATATTAAATGGGATGAACCTCACCCTTTGCTTCTGTCCCTGCATCTTCTCATCTCAAAGACCTCATTAATACATCACAGTAAATAATACATACATTGATTATAAATACACTAATAAAAACAAAGAAGTTTGGCCTAAAGGGTGAAAGTAGAGAAATAAGTACAGGGTAGCTGCACGTCCAATCAATAGCAACCCACAGGGAACAGCCATTTCTCTTTGCCACCATTTTATCTGCAATATATCGTACCCCGTAGGTAAATATGTGGACATTTACAAGTGGGAATCAATAGAACTAGAGATCTTCCCACCCCCTCACCCAGAGAGGCCATTGTTCTTTCATTGGAGCAGGCAGTAGTGAGATGCCATAGATTAATGTCTCTGCTACTACAGGCTATCTGTTGTACCCAGGCTTTCTTTTGGGCCTCTCTGACCACTTTTACCCAACTGGAATAAGGTCAGAGACACTGGAAATCACACAGACCATTTTGCGAACCCAAAGCAAACAGCTTCAGTGGAAGGTGACGTTCTAAGGACAACATTCAGTTGATGGGGAGGGGAAAAAAATTAAAGCCTGAAAGCTTTGCCTGCATGCACAGGATTTTGTCCCAGGCACATCACCAGCTAGTGAGTCTGTATGCCTCCAGGCTTGCAGATGGATAAACAGTTGTCCCAATCAGATCTAGATAAGGCCAGTGGAAGCCACTGCCCTGGCCTCAGGGAACTTTAAGTCACTCCTCCCAGTGTTCCCACATACCTCAGTCCAGGGACATAACCTATGGTACCTGAAGGCTTTTTCTTCCCTCAGGGCATGTTAATATCACTCAATGTGACTGCCTTTTTATTTCTTTTTTAAACTTTACTCTGGCAGGAACGAGGCAATCTCAATTGCCATCCCTCCAATGTGGCTGCCTAAAGCCAGACAGGCAGAAAGACAATGTGCACAGAGAGAGACTCCTGCCATGCAAAGGAAAGCCAAAGCACTCACAAGCACAACACAGTGGCTGTGCCTTGATTTCTGTCCTGCATCTGTAGGTAAAATTTACAGGAATTGTGAGATATCACTCAAGACAGATGCAAGTGGCCAGTTCCGATCATGTAGCTCGTAAATGCCCCTGTCCTGCAGCCCAGATCCCAGCTCACACAAAGAGAATGCATACACCACTTACTTTCAGACAAAGAAGATTTCCTCTTGGCTTTCAGCAGAGTACCCAGAGCTGCGCAAGATTAATGTGTCATCTAATATTAGCCCGTTTCACACTATGAGTTATACTCATTACCTTATCTTCCATGAGCAAATAATTAATCATCAGCTTTCAAAAAGCCAGTTCATAAAAGTACATATCCAGAAAAATGATGGGATGGTGGATCATCGGATGGCTTGGTTTTGTCTTTCAAACTCGTATCTCCAAAGGATTGCTGAAGAGAAATTCCCACTAAGATTTCATTAAAAAGCTACTTCCTTAACACAGTTTAACTGCCACCATAGTCCTGACTCCTTTAGAAAAGCACTAAACAAGTGAAATAGTCCTGCTCAATACCTAGAAAAGCAAAGCACCATACAAACCCCAACACATGTGCAGGGGCAGCACATTTCAGGACTTTCCAACTTTTCCATATGCAAAAGCAGTTCACCATGCCTTGCCCCCATCAGTCATCTAAGGCTTCTGCTGTGTTCTTACTACAGATGCTAAATTCTGCTCTGTGTCACTTTCAGATCAGCTTCCACTCTCCATAAGGAAGTACATCACGGTATTAGCTGAGCTGGGTGAGCAGTCTCTGCTTTACCCACCATTTAGTTACCAAGATCTTTAAAGACACAAGACAATAGCAAACCACAACGAAGTTTGCGGCCTGGAAATGAAAGGCTACACTTTCTCCTTTTCCTCCCTTCTGTTTTACTGCTGGGTTAAATAAATAAATAAATTTTAAAAAAGAGTATAAGAAGGCTGAAATCTGGGCTACATTCACGGGAGGATGCTCAGAAGGATGCTCACTGCAGGGGCTCCTCCGCCACAGCTACATCAGGCACCTGACTCACTAGGGGTGCTTTTTACCTTCACCTGCTCTGCTCCTCCACATTGTCACAGGCTGAACAGAACTGGTTCCATGCAAGACCCCCTCCTAGACCTCTTGCTGTCAGTCAAAAAAAAAGGGCCTGATAAGCTTTACATCTGCATATGTATTGAGAAGCATTTTCAAAGGCACAGTCAGGGAAATGGCCTTTCTGAATACCGATGCTATCAGAGAATGACAACTATTCAAGTCATTCTACAGCTTCACTACCTAAGTGGAAAGATCAGGCTTGTCTGCATCTTTACAAGGATTACCAGCTTTAAAAGTGCTGATTATATCTGTCCTTCACTCAGAAATGAAGCCACGCAGGTTCAAAGCAAAAGGCTATCTTTAGTGTTTCCCACAGAGGCCATGTTCTAAAGGCATCCCAGAGCCAGAATCTAAGGTCACATATGAAATGCTTGAGCCCATACTCCTCCTTTCTGTACAGGCTCATGAAAAATGGTGCAAAGGCATGCATGGAAACATAAACATGTGCAGATTCTCTACCACCCCTCCGTACACCTATCCTACATTAGGGTATGCCATAACTGAGATAAGAGTGATCAATCCCCTCCAAATGATGCTGCTGGGCTCATCCCCGCACACAACGCTTGAGGAGGGCAATAAGAACCCAGTTCTGCAAGCAGAGGCTTTCCTCTGGGCAAAGTATCCCACAGTGCCTCACCCCGAGTTTAAGGGGCTGCTCAGAGTGTGGTAGTGTCCCGTATGCACAAGAGCCCCGGGTTAACAGGTAAGTTCGACTAGCTTTGTCCTAGTCAGCTGTCGATACCTAAAGGGATGTGGTCCAACAATTACAAACCAGAACTGTGAAGCCCTTCTGTTCAAAACAGTGACAGTACATTCAATATCTACCCCGGCCTCTCTGGAGAGCAATACTTTAAGAAAGGAAAGTCAAGTCAGGAACAAAAGCTATCTGCAGATTTACAAACCAGATACTTCTGATTTACACAACAATAGAAGAGAGTTAAAAAAAACAAACCACCAAACATTTAAAGGCACTTGATGCACCATCTGGTGACTGGATCACCCTTGAAACCAATCCCTCACTACTGAGTGAGGTGTCCAGAACATCTCCAGCTGTGAGTAGAAACACAGCTGCAGCAAGAGGAGCACATACAGCAAATTCGTGGATGTGCACAGTACCCGAGAACTGGGTTTATCAGTGCTGTGTGCCCTCAAATCTCCTGGGGCATAAGGACTTGTCATAAATCAAAAAAAAACGGACCTGGTCCTACCAGGACCACCAAAACCTCTGGTCGCTGAAGGCATGGTTATCTGGTAAACACATCCACCGCTGACACCAGCCAGAGCCAACCCCTGGGGCTTCAGCCCCCACTCTGTGCTTGGAGGAGGGAAGGGGTAGCCCAACCAGAAAAGTCCTCTCTGGTTGGAAAAGAGGATTAAGAACATTAAAAGGAGTCTTATAGACAACAATTAATTAGATTGGTGCCTGGCTGGATTCCTACTGAACCCTCTTGGCCAAACTTCTATAAGTCAAGTATTTGCTCTTGCTGGTTTCAAAAAGGAAGAAAATAATCTCAATTTTAAAAGACATTCCAACACTATTGTTTTAATGCCTGATCGCTATTAGACAACAGGAAAAACTTTGCTTGAATACAAGCTGTCAGAGGAGGCTTGGCATGATTTCACAGTGGAGCTTGTTCCTAACTTTAATGATTAGGCTGAACAAAATTGTGAGCACAGCCTCTCTTCGAGAGTAGTCTCCTCTCTACAAACCTTCCGTTTCTGAAGCAGAGTGGGACAAGCAGAGTTGCACCTCTCCAAAACTGCTGAGCTCTCCTCAGCCAGCCTGCCCTGAGAGCCCATGGAGCTAACAGGTAATGCTCTGTGGGGCAGACCTGCACCTGCTTTCAAAATCTCAGACAGGCTCTTCATCAATCTGATCAGACTAGCAAACAAACAAGCCCAACGTAAACCGAAATATTTAAAGGGCAGGAGAGACAGGGAGAAGATGGAGCGCTTATTTAACCCTGAAAACCCAGGCTGGTTTTCGTCAAAAACAAAACAAAACGCCAAGATAAACAAAACAAGACACCAACCCTCCAGATAAGACTCCAACCCTCAGCCCCAGACATCGATTACACAGTCATGGAGCACACACCACACCGGGGTCCTTCCCTAGCCCCCGGGGCTGTTCCTCCCGAGGTCACCAGGGCGGGGGCCCGCAGGAACACCGCCAGCCCCGGGATCCCTCACCCAGCCCCCGGGGGACCAGACCTGCCAGCGGAGCGGTCGCAGAGCCGGAGAGGTGGCACCTGCTGCCCGCGGGACTGGGGCTGGGGGATGTCGCTCACCGTTGAGGCCGTTGGGGATGCTCCGGTGGTGGAGAGGCGCGGACAGGTCATCCATAGACCTCCGCATGGCCCCGGCCTTGCTATCGCCGACCTTGTGGTGGTGGAGGTGGTGGTGATGGTGGTCGGGGCTGCCGGCGCTGCCCGTGCTGGAGGTGCTGCTCCCGTCCCCCACGTCCCTGGTGGCCGAGCCGCCGTTGAGGTTGGTCAGGCTGGCCTGGCTGTCGATGGAGCTTCGCGAGCCGGGCCCGCTCCGCTCCTCGTCCAGCATGAGCACCATCTCCTTCAGCTCCACGTTCTCCCGCAGGAGGGTCTCCTGCCTGGCCTCCAGGTCCTTCAGCTTCTGCTGGTACATGCCCACCTCCTTCCACATCACGCTGGCCGTGTGCCTCCCGAAGCGCTGCCATTCCCTCGACAGCTTCTTGCCTTTCTGCCGGTCGTCGTCTAAGAAACAGCAGAGCTCCCTCAGCTCCTGGTTGTCGTCCTGCAACTTCTGGTTCACCTCCTTCAGCCCGCGGATCTCGTGCAGGTGGAGCTGCAGCCTCCGGTTCACGTCCTTCATCAAGTTGCCGTGTTCCACCATTAAGTTCATCTTTTCATTCTCCACTTTCCTCAGTCTTTTCACCAGTTCTTCCTTGCTCCACCTCAGCATCTCCTCTTCCGAAATTTTGCTCAGGTCTTCCTTAGACCCTTCCACGGAATTTTTTGCCATCATCTGTGCAGCGTTCGCTCTCGCACGGTAACAAATGGTTCGGGTTATTCGGATTATTTTGTTCGCTTGATTTTCTGGGACTAAAATTCACTGCAGCATCTCGAGAAAGAAATATTATAGCTCTCCGCAGAGCGCTGAACAACGATGAAGAGCAACGCCGGAGCGGAAGATCTGCTTCTCCAAAGACCCCATAATAACAGTAATAATAAAAAAAAAAAAAACAACAACAACCCGCGGGAAACGGGGGGGAGCAAAAACAGGCGCTCCCCCCAAGGGGGCTGGGGCGGCAGGAGCCGGGAGCCAAGCGCTGCCCCTCCGAGTGAAGTCTCCGATGGGGATCGGTCAACTTACCCCGGGCAAAACAACTACGCTGCGGCCGCCTCCCCGCCCCACTCTCCGGCCGCTCGTCCTCCCACACGCCCCACCGCCGCCTGCCGCTCCCCGCCGCGGGGGACCGCGCACTCGCCGCCACTGCCCCACTCCTCCTCGGCTCGCTCGCAGCTCCGCGGCTCCTTGGGGCCGAACCCGGTGTGGCGGCGGCCGATGCCGGCGCTGCGCTGCCGAGGAGCGGCGGGGGAGCCGGCGCCTTCCCGGAATGGCTCAGCCCTCGGGAGGAGAGAGGGAGGAGGCAGGCGGCAGCGCCGGCGCTGGTCCCACCTCCTGCCGGGCAGGGAGGCGAGGCCCTGCCCAGCCCAGCCGAGCCGAGGAGAAGGAGAGCCGGCTGCTGGCGGCGGAACGAAGGGGCGCCGGGCCGGGCCGAGCCGAGCACCGCCCCGTTGGCTGCCGGGCTGGGCGCTGGCCAGGCCCCGGTGTGCCGCGCCCCGCCGCCGGCTCGGGTTACCGGAGCCGCGGACGCCGCAGCCAATGCGGGGCCGCCTGGCGCCTTCAAACGGCAGGTACAAAGGGATGGGGCTGCTCCCGCCCTCCTTCCGCCCGCCCTGCGATGCTCTGCCCTGTCCTGCCGGCTACAGCAGGCTCACTGCTGCCCCCCTACAGCGTGTCTCCCACCCCCTTTTTGCCTGTTTTTGTTGGGTTTGCCCGTTTTCAAAAGACCACTACCGAAGGGACCACATCCCCGCCAGGGTGGGGTTGGACAGGCAGGAAAACGCGGCCGACGGGCGGTCCGGGAAAGAGGCGCCGGAGCGGCCCCGGCCCCTCTCCCGCCAGACGCGGCGAGGGACCCGGTGCCGCTGGCGGGCGGCTCGGGCGCGGAGCGAAGCGGGATCTCCCGGGGCATCTCCGCTGCTGCCAGCCTCCCGCCACAGGCTTTGTCACCGGCGCCCAGCTGCGCTCCGCTCAGCCTGCTCTCCCTCCGGAGTGGCCGCCTTTGTCCCCGCGTCCCTCCTGCCTCGGCCGGAGCCTGCAGGTCGAAGGAGCCGGTTCCAGCATTCCTGCGACCTCTGCTCCTGGGACCGGCATATTCCTTCAGACCTCAGAGGTGCGGGAGGAAACTGCCCTGAAGGCACAGATATGGCTTATTCGCTGGTAAAATCTCCCTAGGTCCTGGTGGTCCTTACTGTCAAGAGCAGGCATGCCAGCATCACTTCTGCACACATCAGATAGAACACAGTGACAGGTACAGAAAGTTCATGAAGTGGATTTCCCAGGCAACATGTATACAGATTTCCTCTATCCTTGCATCATATCCCCGACTGTTAGTCTAATGTACTTTACTTGGGCCATGCTATCTCTCTAGGCTGCTTTTGCCCAGTATTGCATTGTGAAAATGAAAGATGCACTGGTACAGAGCAGTGCTGCCAGCTATTTGCTGCATGAGTATCCTTAAAAAGCCTCCAGGGATTACCAGCTTTGAGTTCCTGAAGAACCTCTGTAAATGATTTGACACCAGGGTTAACCCAGTGCAACCTCAGGTTTCTGACCATGCTGGAAAGCTGGTCAAGACACCCTTTGGCTATAAACATCAAATCTGATGCCAGAGCATAGGATGCAGAGCAGATGGCCTGTGGATGGAGGGAACATCAGAACAGAGGGACAGAGGATTGCAACTTCTGTCTTTTGGTGTTATCATCCTAAGTCTCACTCGGTAAAGCTGCAGTTTCTTGGATGTTTTTCTGCACAAGGCTGTTCTCCTGGGTTTCTGAGCCCAAGTATACCCTTGGCAAATTAAGACAAGTGCCTGTTCCCTGCTGAAATGGAACAGCGGGACTTCTCTGCACCTGGGGGAGTTCAACCCCTCCATGAGCACTGTTGACCCTTCTCCCAAAGCAGCTTTTATCCCTCAATTATCAAAAGGGTAAGAGAAGCTTAGGATAGAGCATTCACACTAGTTCACTTCATGTGGGACTTGATCCCTGGTAACATGCTGCTGCACAGACATGAAGATGTGAAGTGGACAATTCTTCCCTAGCACATTCCCACACCAGTGTAGTCCCCTAGAGAGGAGCGAATCACATTGTACAAGCCAGTGGTGAGGCCTGTTTGCTCCTTTCAGGGGGCATCAGTATGAGTAGGTAAAGCAGGGGCAACCCAGGACCAGCTGTGCTCTGACCTGGGTGCCCACCTTGGAGGCAGCTTTGCAGAAGGTACAGCCCTGGCCATGGCTGGTCAGCCCCTCCTGAAGCTGCCACCTCAGCAGCAAAGTCAGCCCTTAGGTCGCAAGCCAGCAGGCATCTGTGCCAAGAGGGGTCTGGCGCCCCTCGGGCTACAGCCAGTGTGGTGTGTGATCAGGATGTACCCCATCTCTTGTTTCTCACTACCTTGAGCCAGGGCACCAGAATGCAACCAACCCCTGTGAATGGGGCACGCTGCCACTGGTGGTGGCTGTATGGTATCTTGAAGGCACACAGCCATTTTCCAAGCCAAACATTTATTTACAAGGCTGTAATCGCATCCTTCCCCACAGGAAGCGGAAAGTGCTTCTCCCGGACCCTCCCAAGTGCTGATCTGACTAGCAGATCCCCAGTGTCTGGGAAAAGGAGGAGCAGAGCAGGGGCACCCTGCAGAGCGATTGTTCATTGCTGACCAAAGTCAACAGGGGAGGAGAAGCCTTTGGTGGCTGCACCACAGATACAGGTGCAGCTACACCATGGTGGTGCCCAGCCCAGGCAGTGCAGTGTTGGGCTTGCCTCAGGTTTGCTTCATCTTTTTCCCAAGAAAAGCTGTTTTTCTTAAGTGAAACCTTTCAAAGTTTGAGCTTTATTGATGCTTGTGCAAAGGCAGAGCCCAGTAGGCAGGGGGGCTCCTCAAAGGAAGTGAGGAGATTATTAATATCCACAGAGGAAGTCCCTGTGATGATTAAGACTTGCTTTCAGTACTCAGTGGGTATGTCTGTACTTTTGGAGATGTTAATGACACAGATCCACCTTGCTGCCGTTTACAAAGGGTTTTCTGTCATTCTGGTAGCTATAAAAGCATGGTGACCTGCTGCAGTTGAGCATCCGGAGGCCTGTATGTTCTGGAGGTGGCACTGAAATTGCCAGGTAAGCAGATGGCATCTGGCCCAGTGAAAGACTCCTCCACTAACAATGAAGAGAGTGGGATGGTGCCAGTGGGTTTGAGTGACAAGACCTGAATCAAGTGGACACCATGCATCATTACCCTTTCTGCTCCCTCCTCTTCAAGGTGGGCCTTGCATTGGAGTAGGGGAAAATCCCTTCATCTTGGAAACAAAAGGCAGCAGTGTTAGAGCAGAAGGGTGAGGCTTGGAGGTATCAGAGTGTCTGTGGCCCAGATGATTCATGGGCAAAGTGGAACTGAGGGCTGTGATGAGGTAGTTTTTTAAGTGCTGTGATACCTTGGAGGGAAAGGACTAGGTCAGTGCACAGTTTTATGATCAATAGCAAACCCAGTGTTGCAAGCAGATTTTTAATCAACACATGTAGTGTGTAACATCAGAGTATTTTTGATGGGTTTGTGATTTTAGTTTTAGTGAGCAAAGCCCATTTCCTGGTGTTATTCAGGAGGCGTTATGATTTCCCCATGCCAATTTAAGATGAAGCATAGGAGAAGTTGGTAAACAACACACTACTGATTCCTTTTTGTTATATCTGGCCACTGGGCCTTCTGAAAGCTTCCAGTGAAAAACACTTTTAATATGCACGTTATCTTAAGCATTGATGCGCCTGTAAGACAGCATCAAAGCCTATCTATCTCTTGTATGGAATCAAATGGACACTTCCACCCTCTTCAGTCAGGGACAAAATTTTAAAGCGAATTATAGCATCATAAGAATTTTAGGAAACAACAAAACCAAAACCACCTACTGGGTAAAATTGCTCTTGATGTTAGCTCCTGAACTCAGCTGGTGACACAAAGAAATGAATTTGGTCCCTGGTATAACACAGCAATACGCCGCCTCATTGAAGTCAAAGCATTCCCTCTACAGGGCTACGTTAGTACTACAGAAGACACAGCTCAGGCCTGTGCTATGGCTTCCCTCCCACGAGAGGGGTGACTCTCCCAAAGTCCACTCACTCCTCATGGGTGGGAGTGGGCAGATGGGTAGGAGGAACCCTAGTGAGATTCTCCCAGGACCTTGCTTTTCCAAGGCAGCCTAGGAAGTACACACTGCTGCATGTGCATCAAGGCCATGCTCCAGTTTACACACACTGAGGACCCATCTCATTAAAACATGTACTCCATAAATCATTTACATGGGTTATAAATCCTCTGCAGCATCGGTATTTTCTCATAAATCAGTGCCAAGGACTAATCCTTGATTAATGTTTGGAAATACACCATCCAGATTGCGACAGTGAGAGCTCTGTTTTGTGCAACAAAGCAGTGAGATAACAAAGTATGTGCAATGCTCCTAATCTCTGCTATCAAGATAGGTACCTCACTTCTAGCCTGATTAAGCAGTATTTTCAGCCAGAACATTTTTCTAGTTAGCAGCTACCTGAGAACTGCCATGCATCATTCTTCTTTCTTTTCCCAGATCAGCTGAACCTTCCTATGGAAAACCTTCATCCCTCCACTTGCCCATCTGGCTGAGCTATGATGAAAAAGCAGTCTCTTAGAAGATTATGCAGCATTCTTTAATGCTGGCTTCTGGTAATATAACTGGGCCATCCAATTCATTCACTGTCCTTATGAAAGTAGTATGGTTTAGTGGAAGGTTTCATCTTGTGTCCACAAAGCCTTTTTATTTTATGCCCTGAAACCACTAGTAAAATTCTAAAATGCACCAGCTTGTTTGAAAGCCTTCAGGATAGTCAGAGAAGAATTATTGTTGTGACCAGCAAACTCTTTGCTGTGCCTGTAAAACAGGTCCTCCAAGAGGCATAAGAGCAGTAGCCTCTAAGCACTGCTACTAAGAACAGCATCCAAATTGGAGACCAGCAGAGATGGAGGGCTGGTACTTGAAGGAAGACATGGGAGGTGTGTGTGTGTGCTCAAGGTCTGTCTTCAACTAGAGCTATTTTTCAGTCCT